GGTCACAGCCCACCAGGTCTTCCACAGTGCAGGCGGTCATATATGCCCTTCGCAGTCTCCAGAATTCATGCGGGAGAGGGCACCGCTACAGATAATGCCCACAACATAAGAAGTTAAAAAAAAAAAAAAAAAAAAGCCAAAGGCATGGCAGGCTATTGCCTAACTGGTTCCCAAGAAACTCAGAGCAACCAACAGCTAAGCCTCCGGAGGCTGCGGGTTGCCCTTACAAAGGACAAAGTGCATCTCACTGGACCACAGAAAGCCAGCGATCATTTGGACCCTAAGGATTCTTGAGGGTCAGTCGTTGGTCCAAGATGCCCAGGAGTCAGAAGAGCTCAGTCAGTCCACCCAGAGGAAAACAAAGGCTCCAGGCCTGCCCAGAGAGGGTACAAAAGAACAAGCCTGGAAGAAGCTGCAAAGGCTGCAGAAACACCAGGAAGAGTTTCCTGTCTTAAGCACCAGTCTCTCCTGTTCCAGGAATCCCCTCTTCCTGAAGCTGAGCCTGCTGCTATTTATTTATACAAGGCTGAACCCCACCTTCAAGAGCACTGCAAAGCCCTCTTCCACCACAAAGCCCGATTGTGCTTCACATCCTCACAGCCAAGTCTGAGACAGAAACTTGCCTGAGGGAAGACAATTTGTACCAGAGATGGAAAGCAGTCAGATTTAAAGGCGCGGTTCTTCAATAACAGAGATCTTTGTTAGGGTGGAGAACAAACTTCTACAGACGATGGAAAGGCCTGGCGGGGTTCCGGCTCGGAGGCCCTTCAGCAGGTGAGCTGTGGGTATTTGGTTCTGGATTATCTCCAAAGAACCAGGCCTCACTTCAGGCCTGGCTGAGAGATGAATTAGTACGCTACTCTGCTCAATTATCCACTTACAGAGAGGCCTAATAACAGTTTATTAAAGGAGAACACACAGATGAAAGATACATCAACAGTAGAAAACCCCAGAATTTTTTTCCCGAAAGGAGATAGGAAATTTTATCAGCCCCAAAACTAATCTGGCCAAGTGGTTTTGGCAATTCAAACACAAAGATTTTTCTCAGGACTTTCAATGTGAGCTTTCTCTCTGTCCCCCAAACTCTCTCAACAAAAGGTTTGGTCAGATACTATTTTTCAGTGTTGCATATTTCCCCACAACAGACTACACGTAAAAAGAACTATAACGGTCCATAGGAAGGTTGGAAACTTGGAGTTTCAGACAGGTTTCAGCTTCACAAGGAATCATGTAGCAGATCCCTTGGACACCAAGCCCAAAAGGATTGAGGGGCCCGATACAAAAGAAATTAGGTTGTCTAAGTACCAAAGCGTCTATGTCAGGGGGGCAAGGAAACAAGATGAAGTCTATGCACTGGTCAGCTCTGGGCCGATGTCAGAGGCTGTACCCTGCTACCATCAGCAATATCAGCTGCTGCCCGTCTCGTGTCCACACCATCAGCACTTCCATGGCTGTGTGCTGGGTTCCTCCTTTATATGTGGGTGTATCTGCAGCTGACCTCCCTAGGAGGCACTATCAACTTCCCCTCCTTCCCATGGAATATGTGCTTCCATGTGGTCCTCCAAGCACACTCTGACAAGAGTGCCCCAGCCTCTCTCTGTCCCAAAAGCTACCTCTAAAAGCCATGTCCCCTGTCTGCAAGAATCATGAGTAACTACCACTAATTGTCCCTCACCTCCCACTAACCCCAAGAACTCTCCTAAGCAGGGAAGTAAGGCGACAGGAGGGAAAAGCAAGAAAGCTAGCCAGGGTCTCTCTCATCCTGCCCCCTCTCCCCAGCTCCCCAGGTCCCACGCAACCAATTTGCCAACATTGCTCCTGCTCTCCACCCAAGGCCTCCTCAGCAAGAGATGCAGCAGAAGGCAGTGGGGCCAAAAACTGCAGGCTCTATAGTTCAGCGTTTCTTAGAGACAAAATTCAGGCATTAATGACCCTTTCCAAACGCAAGCTTCAAAATATAACTACTGGAAGAAACATCACATCACCGATACTGTTTCCTCACAATACAGGTCATGTCCCTCAAGCTCACACAAACCAGCAGCGTGGTCCAGAAAGAGGTGGTGCCACAGGCAGGAGCTGAAAATTTGGGTTCTAAACCAGTGTCTGCCCCTGGATTGCTAAGTGGCCTCAAACAAGGCTCTCAACCTCTCTGCGCCTGGATTTCCTCTACAGCAAAAGCAGGAATAACCACTGTCCCCACTTGCAGGGTCATTCTGAGGATTAAAACAGTTAATGTATGCAACACTCCTCGGGGACACAGAGAATGCCCCAAAGAATGAAAATATTATCACAGCAAAAAGTGCTGGGAATAGGGGGGCCTCGCTGGTGATGCAAGGGTTAAGATGTAACCTATGAAGCTATCATCGGCAGTCTCTGCAACACAAGTTTGATCCCCGGCCAGGGAGCTACCCACATGGCACAGCAGACCTCTCCTGACTCACCCACTGCTCCCCTCAACAGTATATTTCAGTCAATCTGCCTGTTCTGATCCCTGCTCTGTTTCTAGTGAATCCTCTCTCACACACACCCCCCACCTTTGGCCTTTACCCCAGCTCTTGTATCATAAATAAATAAATCTTAAAAAAAAAAAAAAGTACTGGGAGTAGGAAGAAAAATTCCAATAGCAGTCCCTCTATTCCCCTCTAGTGCCATAAGGCTAGGCACTCTCTTCACTGCTCTGGACCTCAACTATTGCTAAAATCCAGCTGGCATCTGTAAGATCCCTTCTCTACACTTTCACACACACACACGCACACACACACGGTGTGCATGTGTGCCTGTCAACCACAGCTCCACGGACACCCACAGCAAGATAATTTTGGTTGTCAGGGACCACCCTATGTTAAGGTGCTGAGCAGCACCCCTGGCCTCCACCCACAAAGTGCTAGTAGTGTGCACCCCTTCCCAAGAGGACAATGAAAAAATGTCTCCAGAGGTTGCCAAATGTCCCCAGAGGGCAATATTGGCCCCCACTGAGAGCCAGCCACGGAGACCTACAGACACACGCATGCCCACGGAGTGATACAAAGCACACTCTGAGAGTGGAGAGGTAAGCAGGCAGGACAGAGGACCGAGGTCTCCACATAGAGCCCATGCAATGTTCTCATGGGAACTTTACCGGCATGGAGACAACACACACATAGCACCTCTGAGCTTCTTTACTTCTGTACTGCGGTTCCTGGCTGGTGAAGGCTGCCTGCACTGTGGCTTTTCCATAGAGCCCTACTTCCCAGACCCCAGAGCTCCCAGCCCCAGTCATTAATGTGCCGGGGAAGTGTGCCTGGAGAACACAGGGGGGCTCTGTGCGCACCCCCCACTCGCCTTGAGCACAAGGAAGCCGGGTGGGGTAGCAGCCCCACATGGGTCATTCCTAGGAAGAGGGCATTTTGCCAATGAGTGACACCTTTTGACTTGACCCATTAGTGGATTTACCAAACTGTTATTTCCCTGGTTCAGAAGAGCTAGTGGCTTGGTGAGCAAGGCTTGTACACAGTGATGTGAGCTCACCTGTACGCATCTACCTACCTTGCTAACTTCCATAAAAGTGAACAGGAATCCTAAGGATGGAGCCTGAGGTCAAGTGGAGGAGGGGAGGTAAATGTCTGCTTTAGAGAGGTCTGTTTACCCCAAGTGTTTAAAAACAAGAATTCTGAACTCCCTTTCTACCTCATTATGACTTCTTTAACATTTGTTTTTAATTTATCCAAGATCATAATCTTTGCTGAAGACCACATATGAGCCAAACTTGAGCCTGAAAACCAAGCTGGGTCTTTTGTTCTGCCTGCGTTAATTAGTGTACAAAGGGGCATCTGATTTCTCCCTCCCCCTACAGCCTGAAACACTAGTTCCTATTTATGTAACTAACAATGTTAGAATGGGCTGCAGCCAGGCCTGTGGGGAATGGGCGTTAGGACAGGTATCAGGAAACCACAGTTCTAATCCAGGCCGATTCACTATTAGCCAAGGAGACAAGTTATTTCAAGCACTGAGCCTCACCTTTAAATATACTGACCGGCCCCTGCTAGCTGGATGTGCTCAGTAAGTTTACTAGATTTCTGAAGAGCTGCATATGGAAGAGTAAGTACCTATAGTGGCATCACAGACTGATTTGTGGTTCCCAAAGTCTATTTTGGGGCACACTAGTCCCATGAGCTACTAATGGAAACGAATGGTTCTATGGTTGCTTCATTCATTGACAAATATTTGCCGAGGGCCTTCTGTAAATCTGGTGTACAGAACACAAAAGCGAACAGAACAAACCCACTCTCTGTCTTCTTCAGTGAGTTTAGGATCCAGAGGAGATAAGCACATGTCAGATAATAATTGGACCAGGTATTTACCAACTGTGAAATGTGCTCAAGGACAGAGAGCTGAGAATTACAGCAGGGAACTAACTACATGTAAGGCTGAGATGCAGAAAGTGTGAGTTGAGACTTACATACTGAGTGGAGGGGTATGTGGGGAAGGGTAGTATTCCAAGCATAAGGAAAGCTTTGGTCAAATAAGCATGCAAGCAATCTTGCATAACATGCTCCCCTCTAACAGAGTCAGGGGGCAGCCTGCATATTAAAGGCTTGAAAAGTCCTGCAGAAATGAAGCCCAGCAAGTCCTACCTATTAACATCCAGAGGATGTTACTCTGGGAAACGCTGATAGAGGCACTATTGTTCTGCAGCATATAAGAAACTTGAGTATAAAACAAAAGCTCTTGTTCATCTAACTGGAAAACTATCATATGTGCTCTCAGAACAGCCCAAATACCTTGGAGTCGCTAATGTAATTCTAAAGTATTTTCCTTGGCTCAGGCCTGTAAAAACATATGGCTTCCACAACTGCTAACACACTCCAGTATCATAGAAAAGTCCAGAGCTACAAGCCAGAGGGCCAGACTTGAAGTTCTACCTCCAGCATGGACATTTGCTTTATGTTTAAAAAGTTGTGTAGCCTCAGTACTGGGATGAATTGAGAAAACTTACATAAAAAAAGTAAAGTACAGGGGGCAAGATGGCGGCCTCGTGGTGACCAGCTGTCAAGGGATGAAAATAGGTTCTTGATTCCCCATGGCACTAGCAGCAGTAAAATGGGCCATATCAAACAGAACTATTTTGAAACATTTATTTCCAATTCAAAATGGAGCTTTATATTGTATTTGTCGTAAGTCTACATATTCTTCTCTTCCAGATGACTATAATTGCAAAGTAGAGCTGGCTTTGACATCTGACAACAGGACAATAGTATGCTACCACCCATCTGTGGACATTCCATATGAACACACAAAACCTATCCCTCGACCAGACCCTGTACATAATAATGAAGAAACACATGATCAAGTGCTAAAAACCAGATTAGAAGAAAAAGGTGAACACTTTGAGCAAGGACCCATGATAGAACAACTTAGCAAAATGTTCTTTACTACTAAGCACCGTTGGTATCCTCGTGGACAGTATCATAGACGTCGTAAGAAACTGGACCCTCCAAAAGACAGATGATGATATCAAAGTTCTCAAGAGTCAAAGAAGTGTTATCTTATGTCTCATTTTCCATTTAGAAAATGCAATCTGGCATATTAACAAATTTATAGTGAAATAATAAAATATCTTTATTAGGAAAAAAAAAAAAAGTAAAGTACAAAAATGATCAGCCGCCAATGTTCAACTTATCAAAGATTATACCCGGAAAGACACCAGAAGGCAATGATTTCCCTCATTAATCTAAAAATGTCCAGAAGACAGCTTTTGCTGTTTATTTTTTGCACTAAAAGAGGCAAATGGGGTGATGAGAAAGGTAGAGCAGGAATAAACGAACGAATAAAAAGAGAGAAATACAAATAAATAATAAATAGTCACACACAAGCAGATTTTGTGTGCAAGGCACAGTGTTCAAAAGGGAGCAGACCTGGGCCTCCTTGGTGGCGCAAGAGGTCAAGACGCAACCTATGAAGCGATCTGCAGCCACCGCAGCAGGAGCTCGACTTCCGGCCAGGGAAGCTACCCACATGGAGCAGCAGACCTCTCCTGACTTACCCGCTGCTCCCCTCAGCAGTGTATTTCAGTCAATCTGCCTGTTCTGTTCCCCACTCCATCACTGGTGAATCCTCTCACATCCCCCCCTCTGGACTGTGCCCCAGTTTTTGTATGCATAAATAAATACATCTTTAAAAAAAGGGGGGGTGAACAGACCTATCATAGCCAGGGTCCTTAAGAATATGGATTCTAGGGCTCCCTGGTGGTGCAAGCTATCGCCAACCACTGCAGCACGAGTTCGATCCCCAGCCGGCCAGGGAGCTGACCCACATAGCACAGCAGACCTCTTCTGCCTCATCTGCTACTCCCCTCAGCAGTGTATTTCAGTCAATTTGCCCGTCCTGCTCCCCAATCTTTCTGGAGAATCCTCTCACCCCCCACACCTCTGGCTTACACCCCAGTTCTTATATGCATAAATAAATAAATTTTTAAAAAATAATAAACAATATGGATTCTAGAAACCAGTAATCCAAAACTGAATATAAGCACCCAGGGAATAGTGTAGCATAGAAACTAAATTTTATAAGGGATAGGGAGTTCCTGAAAATCCAGGACAACTAATTATCCAGGACAATAATGAGTTTACCTTAAGGAAGCCCTTACTATGTGCCAGGCATTGTTCTACAATGTTTGTATACAACCTTATTTTTAATCTTTGCAACTACGAAGCCGCCCCAGAAATACTTCAAAACCCAGAAATACATCAAAACGTGGCCTGGTTTCAGCATTCAACGGCAATTTGTTATTATGTTTTAGCTCCAATCTTCAAAAGGCTTAAACATTTTGTCTGATCAAAGATTATATGGTCATATAAAGATCAACCTACATAATTAATCAAACACTGTAGGAAATACGGAAAAGAAGCAGGTTTAGCTTTTTGTCATTATTTGAACATGACCTTTCAAAAATAGGGAAGTATTCTAAATGCAACTTGGGTGGAAATCTTATGAACTTTATCTGTGGAAAAGCAACGAGTAGCAGAATACATATATATAGGGCCTCCCTGGTGGCTCATGGGGTTAAGCATCACACTATGAAGCAATCGCAGCCTCTGTAACACGAGTTCAATCCCCGGCCTGCCAGGGAGCAACCCACATGGCGAAGCGGACCTCTCCTGTCTCACTCACTCCTGTCTCTGCTCCCCCCAGCAGTGTGTTTCTGTCAGTCTGCCTGTTCTGTTCCCCACTCTGTCTCTGGTGAGACCTCTCACCTCCCCTGTACCCCAGCTGGGGCACTGGCCTGTACCCCAGCTCTTGTATGCATAAATAAATAAATCTTAAAAAAATAAAGAATACATATATATTTATTTAAAGGATAAAATATAAGCATGAAAGATTAATTTTATAAACAACTATAATGTACAACTATAATTATGAACTAGATAAGAGGATAATTAATAACATTGGTAATATTACAATTATATTTAAAAGGATATTACATACTTTTAAAGCAAATGAGAGCTTATTAAATATTTTCAAATTAGAACAGGCACACTATTCTACTTTTAAACTATGGAATTGCTTGGTGTGCTACTAACATTAAACAGACTAGCATTATTACCTTTCTATTCGGTCTATGGCCTTAAATAACACATTTCACTAAAAGGATCCACAGTTCCTTCTAGAAATGGCTGGCTCAGGTCTGGGACAGGAAATGCACATGTTGAGCCTATAAAAACGTGCCACACCAATAAACAGGAAAGCATCAAGACTAATAGGAATATGTCCAAAGGACACTGGAGTCCTTGAAGAGACTCCCACTGGCTAAAGATGGGGCAATTGGAGAAATGATAAGGATAATAACTGTAAATGGATTGAAATACAAATAGATAACAATCAAAGAATCCATAATGATATTTTAAAAAATAACTTCATTGGTCACCTTTGCAGGATGAAAGGGAAGTCAACTGAAAACTAGCAAATAAAAGGAAAGAATTAAGCATTTAAATGCTTTTCCATATGCTCTAGAGCAGGGCTCAGGAAACTTTTTCTGTAATAAGCAAGACCTTTTAGATCTGTGGGCTACATTATGGCTTCACTGGCAACTTGTAGTGCAAAAGCAGTCCTTGTAGTGCAAGAGGAGCCAAAGACAACGAATAAGCATAGCTGTGTTCTAATAAAACTTTACTTACAAAAAATAAGAAGTGGGCCTCCCTGGACAAAAAATAAGAAGTGGGCCTCCCTGGTGGCGCAAGGGGTTAAGACGCAACCTATGAAGCTACCTGCAGCCACTGCAGCACGAGTTTGATCCCCAGCCAAGGAGCTACCCACATGGCACAGCAGACCTCTCCTATCTCGCCTGCTGCTCCCTTCATTAGTGTATTTCAGTACAGCTGCCTGTTCTGTTCCCCGCTCTGTCTCTGGTGAGTCCTCTCACCCCCCACACCTCTGGCCTATACCCCAGTTCTTGTATGCATAAATAAATCTTTTTTAAAAAAAAAAAAGAAGTAAGTTGGTTTTAGCCTGTGGGCCTTAATTTACTGACTTCTGATCTAAGATAATAGTGCACATTGTGTAGTTTCTTTTTAAAAAAAATTGTAGCTCATAAATGAAGGAGTGGTATAAACAGACTATCACCTGTTTTGAAGTTGCTAATGAAGAAATGGATCTCCTGACAAAAGAACATTCATGAAAGAATAGAGGAAAAACAAATTTAAAAAGTGATGTGGAGGAGGGAGAGGTAGAGAGTGGGGAAGAGAAGGCAGAGAGAGAGAACCCTGAAACATGATCAAAAATATAAACCAAACTAACAATTTTCAATAACTACAGGGGACAGAAAAATTTGTTAAAAGACATCACAGAGCTGCATTTAACAAAATTCACACTTTGAGAAACACCATAGGAGTCATCAGATGAAAACCTAATGAGGAAGTTCTTTATATCCTATGAAGAATACAGAACAAATTTCAACTTGGCTACTTCAATATTTCACAAGAGTCTCACATCATGTACCATAATTTCTTGATAAATTATCTTTAATCCAGACACAATAAAGAATTTAAAAACTATGAAAAGAAACTTTTTTTAATGAAGGACAAAAAAGTCTTCATCATACTTTGACAATCTAACAACTTAGACAACTGAAAATTATTGTTCTTGCCCTACAATGTTCAACTTTATAGATTTCACCATCAGCTTGACCATTACCACAGTAACAATTGTTTCTGTCAAGAAATATCAATGGAGGGCCTCCTTGGTGGTGCAAGAAGTTAAGTCTCAGCACTATGAAGCTATCAGCATGAGTTCGATCCCCAGCGGGGACTGACCCACATATGGAGCAGCAGACCTCTCCTGTCTTGCCCATTGCTCCCCTCAGCAGTGTATTTTAGTAGATCTGCCTGTTCTGCTCCTTACTCTGTCTTTGGTGAATCATCTCACCCCCAGGCCCCCAAACCACTGGCCTATACCCCCAGCTCGTGTATGCATAAATAAATAAATCTTTTTTAAAAAAAAGAGAAAGAAATATCAATGGATACCAAATAAATCCAGTGGATACCAAACAATACCAATGGATACCAAAACCAATGGGTAAAAGTTTGGTGTAAAATGGGATATTTGCATAGTTTCAGAGTATCTCCTCACAAGACACTTATTAATTACAAAAAGTAAAAGTTGTAACTTTCCTAGAGAAACCCAAGTGATCAATACTGCATCAACTCTATAGTGTTCTTGCCAACAATTTACAACCTCAAAAAACTCATGAAGAAACATCAGAAAATAATTCAAGGTCCTTCTACAAAAGTCTTCAAGAAGACAAGAGATACACATAAAAGAACTGTTCTAGATTGAAGGATGTTAAAAAGACAGCCCAGCATATAGCTCATGACACTGAACTCTTTCTGGACACCTTCTGCTACATCCCTCCAAATTTTTTTTTTTTAAATAAGAAAGACATTAGGAAAATAACTGGCAGAGCAAGAATCCAGTGCGTAGAGAAGACAACAGTACCATCTCTATGCTAATTTTCTGATTTCTACAAGTAAAGTGTTTGAAAGCTCTGGATTTTAGGAAATGCACAAGAAGCTATTTGGAGTAAAGGGGCATTGTGTCTGCAAATTACTCTCAATCAAATGATTCAGAAAAAAAAATTGAAAGAAACATCAAGAAAATGTAGTAAACATTGACATTTAAGGAAATGTAGGGGGGGAGATACGTGGAAATTCTTTGCTCTATTTTCCACCTTCTTCTCTGAAATTATGCCAAGTAAAAAGTTTCAAAAATATAAAAACATATATTCTATATCTATGAATTAATTGTATATATATCATCTTGTTGATAACTACTTGAGTAAAAGCTCACATAACCTGACAATTCTGTTAGTGATTTGTCTTTGCAAAGAATATTAACATCATGTAAATTCAAAACCTGCAAAAAGTACTAAAGTTGATATATTAATTACTTTTAAGCATTTCTAGTTTTCCCCTGACTATACCATTTGATTCTTTCCTATAAAATATTTTTGAATACTGCAAGAAAATATCCACTTGTTAAAATAGTGGTTAAAAATTTTGGCCACTAAAAATCTTAATAAAGCTATAATAATACTATAAATTATTTTGATGACATTTCTCATTTCTTTTTATAGCC